CATTGAAACATGCTGTGATTTGTTTACATATCTGTGGTAGCTGAAAGATAATTTTAAGAAATACAAGACAAGTTTTCCAAGAAATTCTTACCTTGAAATTAAGAAAATCTAGTTTTTGGCCTCAAAAATTGGGGGTCGACTTATACACGGGATCGACTAATACACGGGTAAATACGGTAAGCTCATCTAATGTGTGCACTATAAATGTATTATAAATGTAATAGCTCTAAATGAAATGGTATGTTAGCTTTAATTCCTCTCTCAGATACATTTCATCTCGTTGTTCCGAAACATTTTTTTTATTCCGCTTATATCCCCCCACCCCCTGGATATAAGCCCCCCTCCCTCTGTTTATAGGCCTACCCAAAACCCCTTATGAAGTTATATAAGCCCAGGGCTTTAACCTTTTATGGTATAAAAGATGTATGATTCCAGGCTTTCAAATAGAAGTAGATGAGTTGTTTTCCTACGTAAAATCGTAAAACAAATCTTTGAAATGCAGTTGATGTTTAGTTACAATAATATATTTTCGTTTCATTTAATATTTAAATTTTAAATTTGATTTTTCCTATCCCATTATTGCAACTTTGGGATCTTAACCTCCTTGAAGTTAACTTTAAATAGTAAGTTTTTACTTTACCTAGGTCAGTGTTAGGGCCGGCTAGCAGCTTGCCAAACTTTTCAAGCTTGTATATTTCTTGATCCTGAAATTCCAGTTTGACTGCTCTGATTGGCGATGGGGGCTTAGGAGATTGTAAATTGACAGGGGGAGGGGGTGGGGAGTGGGCAGAAGACTTTGAGGAAGAAGCCTGATGTTTGTGCCGTGCTGCAAAATAAGGATTGAATCAAGAATCAATACACACCTAAAAAATCAAACATGCTGCCTAAAGTACATAACTTGGAAATTCAGAGATCTCATAAGAGCAGAAAGTGAATACTAGAAGGTGTACGCATGGGCACTGTCATTTATTTATTTTATTTTTTTGTTGTTGGGACAACGTGAAAAACCTGTTGCCCCACAGACCTTCATGTACAAACAGCACAATGACATCTGGAAATGTTTTGAAACAAACTGCCAGGGAACAAATTGACAACAACAAAAAAAGAAAATCAAATGTTGAGCAGTTACACGTACATGTATTTTAGGGTAAGGTGACAACTTCCTTGGACCAAAAGGGTACTAGACCTTCTCAGGTTGTTACCCCTTCCTCCAGTGACCCTCAGGCTCTGATCTGCCAAGCATTGACCAACATCCCCCAGAAGGGCATGACAGGCTATTGTAGCTAAATGCAGGAAAATCCAAGATTGGATTCTTAAACTCTGAAAACAGATTTTGTGTTTCTTGTCTAAACCGATCAATGCAAGATCTCTCGTATCATGGTGCGTCAAAGGAACCGAAGATTCCACTCTGGGCAAGGACTCTTCAGTTCCTTTGATGCACCATGATCTGAGTGGTCTTGGATTGATCTGTTTAGTAGAGAAATGCAAAATGTGTTTTCCGATTTAAGAATCCAATCTTGGATTTTCCCTAAGTTAGCCACAATAGCCTGTCATGCCCTTCTGGGGGATATTGGTCAATGCTACTTGAGTTCTCCAGTGGGGCTGTCCCAGGACTTGGCAGATCTGTGCCTGCGGGTGGAGGAAAGGGTAACAGTCTGAGAAGGTCTGAAGCCCTTTTGATCCAAGGAACTTGTCACTTCACCCTAAAATTTCTACACCCTTACTCCTTTCTACTTACTCAGTAAACTCAGTGGAGACGGTCTTGACGTTTTGTGTTCTTCTTTCTTGACCAACTGTTCTGGAAGCTTCTTTGGTTCTGTTGACGTCACACTTGGTGGAATGCTAGATCTCACCTCACCCCCACTAACTGTACGGACACGAGATTCTGTTTGGAAATTTTTCTTTTCTTCTGGGTCCACCCGAATTACATCATCATCATCCTCACCCCACGCATCACTTGTTTTACTATTAAATTCTTGAAAACTCAGTGGCTTCGGTTTGACCTTTCCATGGACACTGAAAACACAAAAAAATAAAATCTTAGCAATGCTAAGACACAGAAACATACAGAAAAGTACTAAAAGCTTCAAATCTAGCATACATGATGTTGTTAGTACAAGAACAAATCATGTCCTGTACTCTGTGTTAGATTCACACTAATTGCCATCTTTTGCATATGTTAGATTGTGTGGTACATAACAATTTAAGGAATTGGAGTTAGTTTATTTCCAACACAACTGCAATGCTGACATAGGGCAGTGTCGAGATCATAATTCGCTATTGTCGAGAGTGGAAGTTCTGAAGCTGGGAACACCTGATTGCCTCCTCTTAGTCTACAAATTAAGTAGCAAGACTTAAAATATAATGTACACATACATGATTGTGCATATATTTCAGATTTGCAGACTTCTTTCAGTCAGAGTTAACTAAATACAAAGTTAACACAAAAAGCAGACATACAGAAGAATATATGAGGTGTATTTTTAATATTCGTAGAAGAAGAGACACCTTAGAGATACCTTAGTTTTTCATAATTTGCAAGATTAAAATGTTTACTGTCTACAAGACTGACTATAATAAGTATGTCATGACAATAGGCCTGGATCAGATTTGTTTTCCATTTTATCATTCATCATTTTCTAAATTGACTTCAGACTGGAGGGTTTGTACAAAAACTTGTCAAGTGTCAGTTTTTCCTCTTAACAAAAGAATCACTTAATTCATACATAGTGAATCCAATGATTGTATTTGTCAAGTTCTGACACAATAAAGATGTTTTACAAGTCTTACAACCAATTTACAACACTGGAGATCCAAGTAAAGCACAGATGAACCTCTGTATCTCTCAATATACCTTCTAAAACTAAATTAAATGCAGGGCTGTCATTAAGGGCCGTAACCCGTAACACCTGTTACGGCTGAGTTGACTCGATGTTACGGGTGAAGATGTCGATTGATGGTACGAACATGCTACACTTACCTAATTTATTTNACAAAAACTTGTCAAATGGCAGTTTTCCCTCTTAACAAAAGAATCACTTAATTCGTACGTAGTGAATCCAATGAATGTATTTGTCATGTTCTGACACTAAAGATGTGTTACAAGTCTTACAAACAATGTACAACACTGGAGATCCAAGTAAAGCACAGATGAACCTCTGTATCTCTCCATATACCTTCTAAAACTAAATTAAATTCATGTTCTAAAAGATCAATGCACCATACATCAACAAGCTGAGCCCAATCTTTGCTCTCCAAGGGCCAAGTTTGGTATTCAATAGGAGGTTCCCTGTATCTACACACAGGCCCGAGACAGAGCACAGTCCTGTACCAATAGCGAAGATATCAGTGACATTGCTATCGCTCATAACGCCGTAATAAATTGTTTAAACAGTGTAATAAGTTTTTAAGCAGATATTTGCAAGTTGTCAGTTGCCTTAACACAGCACTGCAGTAGGGACATAAGGCCATTGCAAAATAGCATCAGTATTATGAAAATTCAACAATTTATGGATTTTGGATTTTCCAGAAACATTCACAACAAAATTTATTTACCATTTGCCCCCATTTTGAAAATTGCAGAATTTTTTTCCCAAAAGGAAAAGACTGCTGTGCCATAAGCTGACATTCTCTGTCAGCAACTTACTGTTCACATTTTTATTGTTATTACATGTATGTACTGTACAAGAATCAAAATAGCCATTTCTACCATTTCTAAAGTTAGAACTTTTAAATAATAGTCAGTATTAACCCACAGCAGAGTACTTTTGTAAACTCAGTGGAATCTCTTTTCAATTATTTAAAATTATTGCAATAACATTATGGCTTCCTAAATGACCACGCAATTGCAATATAACGTGCTAACAAAATTCAAAAATCAATATCTTAATTTCTCTCCATGCAGAATGTAATTTAGGCTGCTTTTAATACAAGTTTTATAAAGGTATGTAGTAATTTCGATTCCTGGAAATGGGTTACAAACTGTTCCTTAATTTAATTCTCGTAATAACTTGTGCCTTTTAATTAAATCAGCGATGATTATCGTAAAAGAACTACCCCCGAGCAAAGGAAATGACCATTTGATTGATATGCAGCAATAAAACTCTTTTCATGACACTTTTGAACTGTGACATAATAAAATGAAAGAGCAAAAGACAACTCTCTCGATCTCTCGAGCATTAACTTTGGTTCGCTTAAACAAATTTTAAACGCTAAATGTATACACTTTCTCAAAACTTTGACAGAGGATTTATCCGGCCGTTTTAACTTAACTACAAGAAGAACACTCGACATTCAAAATCACATCTTCTAAAGATAACTACTCCCCCTGATTTTAAAGCTGTTTTCGACTAACCTTGCAGGGTGACTAGCGGTCGAGGGAACACTTGTTGAAGTCGTCGACAATAATTCTTGAGCACCATGAGCGGGTTTTATACTGTTTGAAAAGTAAACTAAATCAATAAAAGGGTTTCAAAAATGGCCGAGTGCTGACAACAAACGGTGTTACCTTCCGGGTAATTTACTTGTGTTTCTTTTCCAAAAGGATTTTCTCGGACTTCCCGATTCGAAAGTCACCAGAGTTGGGTCGTCCGCGCTGGAGTGTTCCATCGAGTTAAACTGGGTTCCGAGCGCGATCACACGCTCCTTCGCAGCTTCACTCATCTTTACGATAAATCTGGATTATCCACCCATCACTAATCAGTTGAGGAAGAATGGCTTTTCTTTAAAAGTGACCAAGGTCAACGAAAAAGGGCCAATTTCCTTGTATTTCGTCTTCAATCAGGATAAAAACAATATGGTCGAAGAGAAGTCGAGATAAGAACAACCTCCATTTGATGTGGCCATGGGCACATCCGCTGGCGACGGGCATTTTGCTTCGCGGGCAAAAGAAACCGGAAAACGTCACATGAATGAATTAGCATCACTTCCGGTCACAATTTTAAATTTGTTTTTCTTTATTTTTTTTTCTTCGTGTTCTTTCTTCTTTTCTCTTTCTTTCGTTTTCCTTTTTCTTTATTTTAGGTTCTCTTTGATTCATACATCATCAACATTTTCAGCACAACTCCAAGCTTTTCCCTTTTTTTCTAATTAAATCATGACAAAAAGAAACATAATGTGTGTTTAAACATGATAACATAAAACACAAAATTGAACGAGCTGTGCGGTCGTCAACTTATCAAAAGTCTTTGAATGTATGTTAGTAAAGTAGGGAGAGTATGATCAAAAGAAGTTTTGTCAATCTTATGAGGTAGTCTCAATATTGGCCCATTCTATATGGGTATACTATCTGAAGCCTTTTTGCGTCTAAGGAATGTATATTTGGGATGTTGAGGAGTTATTTTCGGGAGGGCTTCAGTATTTTTGAATGTCTACAGCAGTGAATATTGATGTTGGGACTTATTTTCATGAAATTATCCATTGTTACTTCCTGTAAAGAGTAATGACAAAACATTGAAATAGATATCACAGAAATTTCTACCAAGGGCTTAATTCCTATGGGATGCTGAGATTTCACCTATTTAGTAGTTTCAAAGCGACGTCAAATGAGACTTTGTCTGCGCGCGCGAGTTTTAAGAGCGCGCGGTGGAGAATTTCTTTATTTTCGAGCGCCGATATTCTCCTTTGCACCTGCTAAACAAGAAAGAGCTAACAGGTAAATTTAAATTGTGGGCCCTTTTCTGTTTTTGCCGTACATTATTATCACTATACATGTTCAAAGACCTCTATTATGATCAACGCGCGACATTGTCCAGATGTGCGTGGTGATCACGCGCGCGCAATCAAGAAGCTCTTGTTCTAGTAGTATTTTTATGGACGTAATGCGATTTTCAAAGGAAACAAAAACTTCAAAAAAGCTGCATAAGTCGCTGTATTTGAATTTGTGCAGGGAATGAAATAATTAATGATAAATGAAACGATAAGTGAAAAATCTCATCCGGATACATGATATGAAAGGCCGTGATCTTTAGAGGAGAAACTCGACCCCAAATTTGCATCATGTCAAATCTGAAGCTTGTTGTAGTAAAAAAAAAACTATATTTTCCCTATCTCGTTTCCCTTCCGATTCATCGAGCGCAGTGCGGTCTGATTTCAAGTCCAGACGTAATAAATTAACGATTCGGCATGCTGTAATTGTTAAAACTAATAACTATTTTATAACGCGTGGAGTTTTCCATGTATATATGATGTAAATATGGCTTTTCTTTCCTCCTCATATCGGCGCTATTCTACTAGTGATTTTTTTTGTTTTGAATAATTAAAACGCATCGCCTCGATATTAGTACAACAGTAACTCTGCGAGAAGTCAACAGCACACTTAACACGTTTGCTAAAACATTCCAAGGCACCATCAGTTGGGATTGTTTGGCGAAAATTCGCAAAATCTACGCTTGCCTATCTTCATTTCTTTCCCGTATCTTAGACGGAGAATATTACTAGTACATAGAATAAAACGAAGGAATTCAACGTACCTAGTCTCTGATATTTCACTTACCGAAACCCTGAAAGCAGGGAGACTTCTTCATCTCCAGTCGCGAAGTCACCGCCGATGGCCGACAGAGGGCAAAGGAATTTGGCGATCAAAATAGACCGGCTGTTGTTCTCGGGGATGTTACTTGTGAAGCCGACAGATCCCGCTAAATCCCTGTTCATTTATGTGATGGTTACGTCCGACAGAATGGACTTTCTTGTCATAAATATGAACGACTTATATACACTGTAAATAGGGAAGAATTTCTAAAGAGCAGAAGAATCAAAAGCTTGCGTGACATGAAGTTCTGATGCCGCACCGCTCCTTGCCTTCGCACGTCACTGTCACGGAGAACAGTGTCACGCAATCTTGACCTGTTTGTGGCTGTCCGACACGAAATTAGACCAAATTAAGTACGTTTGATAGATCACTCGAAAATATCTGAACCCGAAACCGAAGGCGAGTTGATGCATGATCTATGCAACCTCCCAAATCCTCTCGAGTGTTGGTTAAACTCTTTTTTGTTTATTTGTCACGTAGGGGCCAAACCACCCCCCAAATGTTTCGTCAGTTCTTGGATATTTCACATTATTTCGCATTACTTAAAAAGTATTGACTCTTTCTACACCNNNNCCCCCCCCCCCCCCCCCCCCCCCACCGTAAAGTTTTTTCAAAGTTTTGGAAAGACGATTTCCTCAGCTCTAAGGGGCTGAGACTTTCCTTAGCTGTTCATTCATCCTTCGCGGAAATTTTGAGATGTCATTTGTGTGTCCATCATTTTTGACGTTACCATCGCAACCGAAAATTTCATTTAGGTTTGGCCAAAAATCAACTTTTTTAACATAGTTCTGTATTTTTTTTTTCCAGTTTTCGTTATCAAATTCCAGAAATTCACCAATTTGTACATTTCATAAGGATCATAAACATTCTGGCTTGATTTTGTATTAATTTCTGTTATTTCTTGACCTTTTAAGAATACAGTAAAATCCAAGATAGCAGATCCAAGATGGCGGGTCAAATGACGTCATATGACGTCACAACCAATAATAATTGTATTGTTTTGTAGAGCAATCTCAGGGCTTTCTGATCAATGTAAATTTATTTTGCTCCGCCTTAACAGAACGAAAACCCAGGGGAGGAGCTCCATCCCCACCCCTCCCCTCCCCTCCAACCCTTTGTACCACGGTGGGGATGTGAGTTAGCTTGTACGTCCAAGGGTTAATTCGAAAGAAACACAAGACTAACACGTGCTGTTTATATAGTGATGAAGATGGCTAGCACTCTCCCACGGTTCATGTTTTCTGAACTTCACGTAGGGGCCAAACCACCCCCCAAATGTTTCGTCAGTTCTTGGATATTTCACATTATTTCGCATTACTTAAAAAGTATTGACTCTTTCTACACCAAACTTGGCAGATGAGCAGGAGACCTACTGCCAATTATATTTACGTGAGAAATGTCAGTAAATGTTAAAGTTGTGACGTCACAGTGATGACGTCATGTTTCTTGCCACTTTTGAAGTTTTTAATATGCATATTTTTTACAATGTGTTC